CTGCATTGACCCTGCCCTTGATAAAACACAGTGGACCAACACCAGCAGATGACATGACATCCCAGTGACTGTGGAAACTTGACACTGGACCTCAAGCAATGTGAATTATGTGTCTCCTCTCTTCCTCCAGACTCTGAGACCTTGATTTCCAAAGGAAATGCAAAATTTACTGTAATCAGAGAACATAACTTTGGACCACTCAGCAGCAGTCCCAGGCGAGATGCTTCTGATGCAGTCTCTTGTTCAAAAGTGGCTTGACCTGGGGAATGCGGCACCTGTAGCCCATTTCCTGCACACGCCTGTGCACGGTGGCTCTGGATGTTTCTACTCCAGACTCAGTCCACTGCTTCCGCAGGTCCCCCAAGGTCTGGAATCGTCCCTTCTCCACAATCCTCCTCAGGGTCCGGTCACCTCTTGTCGTTGTGCAGCGTTTTCTGCCACACTTTTCCCTTCCCACAGACTTCCCACTGAGGTGCCTTGATACAGCACTCTGGGAACAGCCTATTCGTTCAGCAATTTCTTTCTGTTTCTTACCCTCTTGCTTGAGGGTGTCAATGATGGCCTTCTGGACAGCAGTCAGGTTGACAGTCTTACCCATGATTGTGGTTTTGAGTAATGAACAAGGCTGGGAGTTTTTAAAAGCCTCAGGAATCTTTTGCAGGTGTTTAGAGTTACGTCGTTGATTCAGATGGTTAGGTTAATAGCTTGTTTAGAGAACCTTTTCATGATATGCTAATTTTTTGGGACAGGCATTTTGGGTTTTCATGAGCTGTATGCCATAATCATCAGTATTAAAACAATTAAAGACCTGAAATATTTAAGTTGGTGTGCAATGGATCTGAAATATATGAAAGTTTCATTTTTATCATTACATTATGGAAAATAATGACCTTTATCACAATATGCTAATTTTTTGAGAAGGACCTGTATGTTCATTACATATCCAATGATTACGTTCCGAGAGTTTAATCAAAATCCACTCAGTGGATCATGAGATATTTTGCTAACAGACAGACATGTAGTTTTTTTTTTTTGGTTTGTTTGTTTGTGAGCTCAGTTTAAGTGTAGAAACATTGTGAAGTGTTTCAATGAACTTATCATCATCGCTCAATTTTTTTTAAATTTTTTTTTTTAAAGAAAGAGAAGAAAGAAGAAAAAAAATAAAAGAGAAATAGATAAAACGAGAGACCACCACGACAAAACAACATGCACAGCACAATGCCACCCACAATATCACCATGAAACATTTGACATGGCACAAGGAATCATCTAGCTTCCACCACTACCCAACCTAGCGTGCATCTGTCAAAGCACCTGAATCCAAACACCCGCGCAAGCACGCCCGCCACCACCAGATTTCTCCAAAAGAATGCCCAATAGTGGATGCGGGGGCCCACAGACCCGCCCCCCCAGGACACAATGGCAACACAGGGAGGACCGGAGCCACAGACAAACAGCGGCCCACAGGCCCGGAGCCCCAGGAGTCTCCCAACAGGGAGAACCGCACCCCCCAGAGAGGAGCAGAGGAAAGAACTGGGTGACCCCAGCAACCACAATGCAGAGCCTCCAGGAAGCTGCAGCGACGAGCCCACAGGTCCGGCCAGCAACCCATGCCCCCCCAAGTAGATCCAGCCATGGACACCGAGCCCCAAGCCCCGAGGCCATACCACCCCCCAGCAGAGCCCCGACAGAGCCAGGGCACCCAGGCCCTGCCAGGCAGCAACCAGGGCGGACCTAGTACACCCCACCACCCAGCCCAGACGCCGAGAGCCACCAATGCACCGGCGGCAAGGGGGCCCCCCGCCAAAGGGGGGCACGACCGGGGGGAGTGGACCCCACACCAAACGTGGGGCCCAAATTGATCCAAGAGAGGGGAGACCACCAAAACCCCAACCCGAGCCACAAACAGGCACACACAGATAGCCCGACAGAATTTCTGTCGGGCCGACCGCATGCACCATCTACCTGACAGCGACCACAGGCCGGCCCCAGCCCAAGGGGCAGAGCAGCAGGGAGCTGCAGCCGAGGAGGGCCAGCTTTTCACATCAAGAGCTCCACACCACAGGCCCGGAGACACCCCAGCACGCCACCTACGCACCCCCCCCCACACACACACACACACACACACACAGCACCCCCACCGCAAATGCCACACAGGAAGACCAGCCAGTGCCCCGATGAAGCGAAGCCACGCCCCCAACCGCCGCCCTACACCACCAATGACCACACGTACACTACCATAGCCGACCCCCCGCCGAAAGCCGGCAGCCACCCCGGTCAAAGTGCCGGCCATCGCAACCAGGAACCTAGATTAAAGGAATCGGAACAGCCCAGGGGGAACCGGAGCACTGGCCCCATCACCAACCGCCCCCAAGGCCCAAAGCCCACCCATAGCCCAGACCCCAACAATGCGCCCCCCATCCCCGACCCCTAGTGTCACACAGAGAAAGAAGGTGTTTGTGAAATAATTTTTTTTTATATATATGCATAAATAAATTATGGACAGACCCACTTCCTCCTCCTCCCACTCGAATATGGTGTTGATGCATGTTGTTATACAGTGCGTTTAAAATGGGGGGCTGAGGTGGCGACCGGCACAGACCCACCTCTTGCCCAGAGAGCAGGCGGCGCCCGTTCACCCCTCATCTCCGCCCAGAACCCTAAATGTCTACATGCTACATGAGAGTGGGCACAGGTCCGGGAGGTAGAAATGATTGTACATCCCACCACCTAAGTGCGACCATGTGCCCACTCCAGGTCCTATATATGCATGTGTCGTGAGAGTGTTATAAGTGAGTGTCTAGGTTGTATATTAAAATTAGGGCCCAGGACCCCACCAGCCATGGAGATGGATGATTCTCCCCGTAGCTCAGTAGTGCACCTGAACCCCAAAACCCTGTTTGAGTGGTGGTGTGGTGGAGTGGGCGGAGGAGGACGTCGGGATGGGGAGGTGAACTGAGGTGGCAATGCCCCCCCCAGGGGACAAGCTCCCCCACTGACCCCAATAGGCACCCCCACTCTCCGAGATCCACCAGGGGAGAGAGGCTCTAACAGAGATACCTAGGAGGAGGTGGCAGCCGCACCACCAGGGATCAAGGCCACGGACTGGCACATAGCCCCCGAGGACCAACCAGAACCAGGGCCAGCAACCCAGCCCCATCCCGAAACCGTCCAGACGCCCCAACCCGATTCCTAGCCCAACACCCAGCCCCCCAACCAGAGAGGCCACCAAACCCCAACCGGGACAATCAGCCAGGAGTGCCCAAACAGCCAGAGATAGAGCACCACAGCGACCAAGAGCGCACCCCCACCCCAAAAAAGCAAGAGACCAGTCCACCCATAACAACACCCACAGCGAGAGCGCCCCATGCAAGTGAGGGCACACACCCAGTGAGCCCAGAATCCCCCGGTCCCACAGCACAGAGCCCCCCATGCGAGAGCCCCGAATATACCCCACCCCAGTCACAGCCCCCCACAGCCCAGCCCCCCAGCCAAGCACCACGCCGCGGCCACCACCAGGCAAGAAGACACCCAGGTTGGTCCGAGACCCCCGGACCAAGCCGGGAACCCCGCCCAGGAGCGATACCACCCCAAACCCACCCAGGGACAGCCAGGTCACCAGGCCAGTAACCCATGTCCGCCGGTACAAACCGCCCAGAAGCCCGCATGCAGCCAGTACAGGCCATCACCCAGAACCACCAGAGCCACCTCCCCAGTCGGGCGCCACCGCTCCAGGCCCATGACCCCCCCCCCATGTCCCCAGCCCCGACACCCCACCCACACCGACCACCATGCCCCACGGGACAGAATCAAAGGGGACCACCCACCTCCACTACGTGTTGGAGCCGATTAAAGAAGTCCCGAGAGAATAGTCCTATGTGGGTGTACAGGCTGTCTCAAGACTGATGTAATCCAACAGAAGGTCTTTATACTGTTTAATACTAAGTGTATTTTATTTTTCCAATTCATGAGTATAGTTTTTTTTTGCTATACATAAGGCAGTGAGAATCATATGAATTGATTTTGTCTCCAAGGTGACATCATCTAAGTGGCCCAATAAGCAAACTGACGGAGAGAGTGGAATATTACATCTCAGACACTTTGATAAGTCTTCACATATCCGGCACCAAAACCTCTGAACAGGTGGACAGAACCAAAATGCGTGGATGTAATTGTCAGGAATATTGTCTGTACACTGTGAGCAAATATTAGATGATGCGAAACCCATCTTGAACATCCGTTGACCTGTATAGACATGTAGTTTTAAGGAAAGCGTTCTTCCACTTTGGTAAGGCATAAAATATGTGCTGGGGATATCTTTCAGCTATAACTACAACAAGTTTGAGTTCAAGATCTGTACAATTCCCTGACCTTTGGTCATTTATTTGTTGCTAATGTTAATTAGTTGTAGCGGCCATCTTGAATTGGGTTGATTAAAAGTTAATCAGTTGTGGTTGTACAGCCAATCAATACTTTGAGAGTTTCATTAGACTTCACCAACTGGTTCATCAGGTATTTTGCTAACAGACAGTCACGCCTGTCTTTTTTCTGATGATTCATTTAGATTCTGTTGGCTTACATCGCTTCATATTTAACAAGTAGGGCAGTTTTATGGATAGCCTGGGTAAACTTGGCAGAAGATTATTTCTGTTTCAGATTTACCTTCAGTGGAATGGAGAGGATCAAAAAATAAAATACATAACATAATATTTGGGAATAACTTAACTTTACTGTTTGTAAAATCTCTCTTCAAAATATTATATTTATAAGATTGAGTTTATTGCAGCTCCTCAGACTGACGAAGTCTTTTGGATTAAAGACGAAACGTTTCAACAAGTTTTATATTTTTATTTTTTCAATCCGTCCAGAGGACCTGACTTCAGATTATTTTTTCATATACTGTAGCAATCATTTGACATCCTTCTGGAGTGAATCAAACTGCTTTAAATGTGACGAGTAGTTTTTTTTAACCGATAATCTTTCTCGTTGTTTATTCCCAGTGTGGACCTGAAAGGAGTGTTTGAGCGCCAGTGCATCTCATGTCACCTCATCGATGGTTGTGGCTTCTTCAAAGCTGTTTTCAGCCCCAATCAAACCCACTTCACCCTCTACTGTTTGGGTAAATCACTTGTGGTTAAACAGAACGGTTTCAAACTGTGTTCACTTTTATAGTTTTCTTATTTAATCATCCCCCCAGGTCCGGGAATCCCTAAAGTGACAGTCCACAATACAAAGGACCCCTCCAGTGAGTGTTACACCTGTACCGGTACACAAATATCGTCAAGCCACTCACAGGTTTTAATTAGAGTTAGTGAAAAGATCATGTTAAAAATGCTTCCAATAAGTGGTTTTAGTGTTTTGGCTTTTTACTTTCATTCACTAATCACTGTTTGTGTTATAGTTTCTTGGTCAAGTTTATTCCACTGCTGTCATCAGTCTTTGTTAAATAAATCAGGTCTCTCTTATAAATGAGTCCCCGAGGCTCCATGGGATTAACCTGTATAAATAAAGGTTGGATTAATGTGGGATTAATGCCTAATGAACACATGGACATGCCTCAGGCTGACTGCAGTTCCACCATCCAGCCAGCAGAGGGAGCGTTTAGAAACAGACCTAAGGATGGACTTTATTTATGCTAGCACTGCCATCTGTCTGTGGCTCTGAGTTAAAACAATCAGCTGTCTGGATGTTTTAAATAAAGTCTATCATCTTCTGTAGGATTTGTCATCCTGGAGGATAACAGCCCTCTGTCTAAAGCTCTGGAGGAGAAGAAGCTCCCTGAGACTCTGTTCAGGACGGTCCAGGCAGACAACCATGGTACAACAGACCAACATGAGGCTGCCTCTTTCTTTGAGAGTAGTATTTGTAGATCATCAGCAGTGTTTTTCTCAACAACTAGATTTTATCAGCAGTAAGAATGTCAGACTTGAAAAGCGAGATAGTCAGCCTGAAATGTTTCTTTCGTCAGATCTGCACCTGAAGCTGTCTCTACCTCAGGGCTATGAGGCCAACCTGCTCCCGCTCCTCGTCATGGTGTAAGTGTCACTGAACAGCCAGACAAAAGGACTGACTTCTAGACATGCGTTTAACTAAAGCCCTCCTGTAATCCATAAGTTCTTTAAGCCATACTTTTGTCACCACACTTGCCTTTCCCGTTTGTCTTGTTGGTCAGGGACAGCACTCCTGGGAGTCAGTCTGTGACGGAGGAGTTTGCCCTGGACTGGCCTCAGGTCCTCTGCAGTACGCACAATGTGGCCTTGGCCTGGGTGGACGGCAGGAGCGGGGTCGGGCGTGGACAGAAGACCGTGGCCGTCGATCCACGAAAGCTCGGCTCACTGAGAGTCAAAGATTATCTCCGAGTCGTAGAGTCAGTACCGTCACACAGCAACGTGCTGCTGCGTATCTTAAATATGTGTAACTAAAGAGCTCCTGTGACTCCGCAGGCTGCTGATGCGTCTGCCTTACATCGACGATCGACGGATAGCTCTATATGGAAAGGTTACGACAGCTTTAAAATCTTCACGTGGTCTTTTGAAATGAGGGTCTGTGGAGCGGTTGTGAACTTTTATATTTGAACAACCTCAGTTCGGAGAAGTGTAAACTAGTTATGATTTAATTGCTAACTGAGCTGATGGCTAAATTCCAGTGGGTCATATCTACAAAGGATTGCTGCCGTCCTGAAACGCTGATTTTGACATTGAGTTAAACTGAATATGGTTCTTTGACTGTTCTCTTCTGGTTGAGGGTGAGGTTCTGCCTCAAGTGGAGGAGTTCAAGTATGTCGGGGTTTTGTTCACAAGTGAGGGAAGAATGGAGCGTGAGATTGACAGACAGATTGGTCCAGCATCTGCAGTATTGTGGACTCTGTGCCGGTCTGTTGTGGTGAAGAGACAGCTGAGCTGTAAGGCAAAGCTCTCTGTTTACCGGTCAGTCTACGTTCCTACCCTCACCTATGGTCACGAGTTCTGGGTAGTGACTGAAAGAACGAGATCGTGGATACAGGAGGTTGACATGAGTTTCCCCTGCAGGGTAGCTGGACTCTCCCTTAGAGAAGTTCAGTTATCAGGAGAGACTCAGAGTAGAACCACTGCTCCTCCACAACGAGAGGAGCCAGTTGAGGTGGTTCAGACAGCTGGTAAGGATGTTTCCTGAGCACCTCCCTAGGGAGGTGCTTCGGGCATGTCCGACTGGGAGGAGACCCCGGGGAAGACCCAGGACACACTGGAGAGACTGCATCTCTTGGTTGTCCTGGGAAGACCTTGGAGTCCCAGAAGAACTGGAAGAGGTGGCTGTGGAAAGATATGTCTGGACCTCCCTGTTCAAGCTGCTGCCCCCACGACCTGACTTTGGAACAAGTGGACGATGATGGATGGATGGATGGATGGATGGATGGATGGATGGATGGATGGATGGATGGATGGATGGAT